GGTTAGGATCTTTGATTTCCGCACTAAGTCCGTTGGACCTTTTTAACGATGGGTACGACCGTTGACAGCCGCCGGTCTGAAGGCATCTCTTCGGCGTTCCCAGTCTTGTTGAATACGACAGCGTTTTCACTCGACAGAGTCACCTGCGACTTTCAGCAAAATACCTGGATGATGTTCGGGTCCAGGAACCTTGTTTCGTTATAACACAGCGAACTCATTTTGGATCTCTTCCAAAGTTAGAGGTGTAGTATCAACTTCTTAGGTTGACTCAGGCGATTCAGCACACGCAATGTCGTATTTGGCTTCATAATGTTCCGCCCAACATGCTAATCGAGCTGAATTCCTCGCTGTTATTGTCTAAAATACCGTAGTGAAGTCGATGAACAATGGGAGCGTGAGGCATCAGTAGTACGCCGGTACGCAGTATCAACGCCTTGCTGCCGCGAAACCACCGGTCCGATACGCAGGCTCGAACGCGCGCCTTCGGTTTACTAGACAGGCTTGTGATCATTTAGGCGACGGGTCCTCGAAATCATGGTGGAATGAGAAAACATGATCGAATTAAGAAAATACGTGCCCCATTTTTGTCCAGTTTTTATGATATATATATATATATGAGTTTACTTCATAAACAAAAACTTTAACGGATATAGCTTGCAACTGAGACCTACCTACGTGGCTCGCGGCTCGGGTAAGGCCGTCTAAGTCAGCTTTCCAGTAGTTGTAAGCTGACTCCAGTGCGTTGGAATGCTGTAGTGGCTACTCTCTGTTGGCAAGGAACGCTGAGTGCTCGCTTAGTGCCAGGGGCTCCAGGATCTGAACATCATGCACATGTTGCCCACAGTTTGTTAACATGAAATCTAGGCACAGCAGAGTTGAGCGCGGTATTATGCGCCTCGGTTTACAGATATGTTGTGCCTGCCCAGTTTCAAACACTAAGTCTAAGAACTTTGCTTCGATTTCAAAATGTTCTAGGATAAGCTGAACTTCAGTCAAGTATATTCGTGGTCTATTGAAATCGCTGACAAAATGCGGGAAACTCATCTTCAAGCTGAATTTAGGGATCACGATGTGTGGTTGGGTTGCGACTCACATCCTCTATTGAGACTTCGGCTCACTTTGAGGTAAACATCTTGTTTCGGAGCTGCAATAACTCAGGCAACTGCGGTAAACTGCACTCACGAACACCTCTGTCCACCTAAGGAGGACCGAGCACCACAGTTGCTTAAGTAGGCTAACGTAGCTTCATTAAACCCTTACAACTCTCCGGCGCAGAGAAGCCGAATGTAGAGCAAGAAACCACTGCGGATTTTTGATAGCCTGTCACTGGGGAAGCACAGGTAGCCGTTAAGCTCAACTTCCTATTTGAGTACCTCATCATTCAACCACCACTGTGACACCCACTACATATGGTCGCTCAAGAGCGACAAAGCGGCACAACTCACTAATCTTGTTCAGAAGATTTATACGTTGGGACTATCTGGCGTGTGAAATGAGTGAGCGACCGATTTACCCGAATTCGCGTTCGTGTTTAAGCCACTCGGAAATTTACACTTCGTCTCTTACCGGTTCACTACTTTACTTCGATGTTGGCACACTTGTGGTTCTGTGTGTCCACTGGATCCATATCCGGGCCACTTTGCACCCTCTCACTCCTCAGCCTGAGCAATCATAGCTCTGGGTTAACCTCATCGGAACAAGCTACCCATATGGGTCCATCCTCCTCAGCATTATTTTTGCCAAGGCTGATAATTCGCCTCACTTTCACATCAAAAAGCCTATCAACCAGGTCATTGTAATCGTTGGCGCATTGCTTGCTTTTTTTACCCTTATACGGTGGTAGCAGTAGGGCTTCCTGCAGACCACACACGTTTCACCAAGTGGAGCAGCGCACGTAAAATCCAAGACCCGCCGTTTTTAATACCTCTGGCGGTGTCTCACTGGTAGCGGTACGCTTTTCGTTTCGCAGCTGAGCAAGTACTCTCTGGGTCTCACGTAGGGTGAGCGTGTCGAGAAACTCGTCTATCATATTTATTGTTGCAGCCCGTGCAGCGTATCCCATCAACCTCCGAACGGTTGTTCAAGCTTTAGTCAAGATGATGTGTGCAGATTTTATGCAGGCGGCACCCGAAGTAGTGTGCGCCGTATCCTCAACGGCTGCAAGGTTAGCACATATTGCCATTAAGGAGTCGTCAGACTTCCTATATTAGCGGGGTTCGGCGTAGCTTCCCATCTATCCCGCTATCTTCGTATACCGTGCATCCTTGATGCGAGGGGGCTTCGGAGTCAATCGTCTGCGCATTTTGCGAAGGTTACCCTTCCCCGAGTTGCCGGGATCTTCCAACTGTGCGACAAAAATTGCATTCCTTACCTGCAACAATGCTCCAGTGGTTACACTGTTGTCATCAAACCAATCTGGTCGCTTACATTTTGCGGGCCCACTCCTTTTCTCGACCGCAACTGTCCCGTATCCTTTGATCTGGCTTAGGCCGAACCGCTACAGTCAACTTCGCCAAGGCGAGTAGTCATCTCATTCACTGGTCTTGTTCTCTTCTGAAAAGTGCCTAGAGAACGAACAATAACTCTCCTCCACTACAGAGGGATAGTGTTCTCATTTACGAAAATATATGTACAATTTAGTCCACACCAACCTGTACTTACTATCACGCTTTGATCCACGCATTACTCGTGGTGTACGATGACATGATCGAGTAGGTGGGTGTGACCATTCCGTTAGTACGTCTACGTAGCATATGACTCGCACTCTGTTGGACTGTTTGTTTTTGATCGTTAGACCATGGGTGACATAGTGAGAGTAAGTGGTCACCGCACCCATTGGCTAATGCATGCGACCCGATTACGTCTGCCCACTCATTGGCATCACCTCCAAGACGCTCGGTGCGGACCGTATCACGGAGGACAACTGAGTGTAAAACTGATCCCTCGTGTCACCAGGATCACACTTGGTGGGACCATGCGTGCTACTACTAGTGAAGGGTCATCAACAGGGTGGATGCCAATCGGCTCTTCCATCAGATGGTTATTTAGACTGTCGGATAGCGCAACACCGATCCCATGTTCACATGGTTCTGTGGGGCGTTTCACATCTAGTAGAACGTGTAGTCAGGACAATCCTCATGCAGCTTGCCTTGGTCTCGTTGAGTGCGGAAGTCTCAATGCCATAGCGACTGAATCCCATGGCGACCAAGACCGTGCGTCGCTCGGGGCGATCACTCGTATAGCGATCCAGTAATCTGCACACGTTCCATCATCCGATCTTGAACGCTTTTCTCGAACGCACACGATTGCGCCAAGAATTGCTCGGGTGGTGAGTTGTGGACCAAATGAAATAGGGACTGGGAGAGTAGAATGTGTAGAGAAAGAAGTAAGAAGAGAGGCGTCGACGTTACTATGTTCTCGCTTATCCATATCCCCTATATCCTGCAGAGGAGGTGATCCTTTCCCCCTCACTACGCAACGGCCGACATAGCTAAAGTCTTTAACTAAATGTACTCTCGAAATGCAGCGGAAAATGCGCCATCAGTCAATCTACTCACGCGTATGTGCCCTAGCACTTAATTACAACATGGGTATAACCCTACTTCCACCCAGGGATCGCAACGCGGAAGCGTCTAGTCTCATTTTCTGTACACTTCGCTGATTTGAAGTAGTGTTCTGCCCTTCTAGCTCAGAGCCAGTGTAAATCTTCGTGAGTCGATTGACTCATGGTGCGTTAATCACTCACTGCCTTTCGGGAGTGCATCATGTCGAATAATTTGGCTGAGTACCTCAGTCATTCTCATCTTCAGATATTAAAGGCCTTGACATTGATGAGTGCATTGTCTCACTAGCTGTGTGAAGTTCAGGGCATTCCATGAGAGGTTACTGATGGCAACCTTTGTGTGGGGGAAAAGGACATCATTTCATTTGAATGCTTTATGCGACAGAAAGCATGCTCTAGACCGCAATGCAATCTGGCCCATATAAGCTTATAATTTGATAGATAGGCTATTGTCGGAAGTTGCATACCCAAGGCCACGTTTTCTACGTTTTTTTTCAGGATATCTCTCCATCAAGAGCAGGCAATAACCCGATGTAGGTAGAACAGAAGTTTGGGATCAGTATGGCTCTCTGAGGAGCACCGGTGGCTGAGGTGTACGGCGAGGACCTTCATCTAAGTAGGATAAAGTGGGGACTTTAGTGAGCTAGTCCCTCAGTGGGTGGATGTTAGCAAGAGCATTTCACCTGTTTTGCTGCCATTCAAAAGACCACTTTGCAAGCACGCTTGTTTTTGTTTTCTCTTCATTGAACTAGTACCTCACGAAATATCTATAAAAAAAACTGCTACGTGCTAGTAAATAGGATGAATCAACGGATCTACTAATAGGGTATCAGAAGAGTGGAAGAAAACTTACTCATCGTAAGTAAACATTTACGAGCAATGTGCCCATATATTACCAACAACACATGGCCACATACAAATGCTTGTTTTATGTGTGACACCTGTGGGATAAACTCCTCGTGGCTATCCTGATCCGCGTCACACTCAGTCCTACTCCGCATTAACTCAACCTTGCACACAACATAATCGAGCTTGGAGACGACAGCAAACGCGCGGCTACGTTCAATCGCCTGCCACATCCTGTGAGGTCTTGAGGCATACACAGTGGGTCGTGTCACACTACACTAAAAGGCAAAACCTACCAATAACAGCAACTTCACCCTTTACTCACATCCATTTTTGCTGCCTTCTGAACTGCTTAGATTCTCTCTACCCTTGATCTGCACATTCTTCATTGTGTGGAAACACGTGCAGCACCGCTTGTGTCCTTACTCTTGAGTCTTTCATTTCGGGTTCCTCTAACACGAATCTACCCATAAACATATTCTTACCATATTTTTCTTTTTTCACATTGGTCACTCTTTACTGAGTAGTGTTTGCACAACCTGTTTTTGTTTTTCGTTAATTCGAATTTGGTTTTTCTTCGGCTTTATCATAGGTTACTGCTGGCTTAAAGGTCGGTCAGCTCCGGGCCATCCTTGGCTTATCCTCTCAGTCGCTGTCCGAACCATCCTCGGATGACAACCCCCCGGAGAATTCAGCCATTCCATGCTACTCCAAATCATTTTCATCACACCAAGATTGGCCCGCGGAGAATGAGGAGTTCTCATACGGTGCATCTAGGCATAAACGACCCCGAATATCTCCCAGCCCAGTCCCGGTCGTATCCCCTGCGTTCGTACAGCAGAGCACAGACGCATCATCATCATGTATGGTTTTAGACCGAGCTTTTGATACCGATAGTGTCGATAACCAGTGTTGGGCTGTTTTATAACCAGATTTACTTATTTCTCTGGCGGCTACCATTTGCTCACCGGCGCTGCTCGTTTCGTTCTTCGTTCACAAACCCATCCTATCCAGTCCCTTCTTTTTTCGAAAGTACAAGACAGCCGATGCTTTTCCCGTTTTCTTCCTATGTTGTAAGCCTAAACCATTGCATATTAAAGGAAAATACTTTGCACTACGAGTCGTTTGATGTTCTGCACTTGATTATCACTTGTCTGTTGGCTCCACACTAGTATCGTCTTGGGTTAAGTGCAGGGCATAGTGTACATTTTGTGCCGGTACCCTTGTCACCTACTGCTCACGAGATTCTAGTCATCATCAAGGCGTATGATAGTTACGCGTTCCGTTACTTCGATATGACTACCAGTAAGCAACCGGCTTTGTCAGCCTGATTTGCTGTCACTTAACTTGCAGTCATGCTTCGCACCATCTTTCTACTGTTGTTCGGGGTCTTCCCAACGTCATCCCTTTAAAGCGATGTACATATTCCCATGCAATGGGTTCGCACTGTTTTTTCCGTGTCCTTGCTTACACAATTTGTGCGTTCTTTTGGCGTTCTTTTCTGCGCTCAACCGCGACCCGCTTTTTTCGAGCAGTTCCTCGTTTACTCTCCTGTAGTTTGTGGCACGAGTTTATATACGCAATAGGACCCACAGCTCTACCCAAGGGCTATATCTCGTTCATCATCATCATTGTACACGTTAGCTACAGGTGGAAAACACGGCTGTTGTGCCACACTACAAAAGGAAAAAACAGTAACGAATGGACATCGTTCCGAAGAGCTAACAGCCAGCTATCGTGCCGCAAAAAGTTATATTACGCCTACGAGAGGGAGGCTAAACGGGAAGGTGAGGGACAATGAAACACACAACACAAACACCATTGAGGTCGGCTGCTATCCATATCAACAAGTGTATCCAGCCAAACGTCTTCATCGTCCTTCGGTCTCCAACCAGGGAGCCGAGAGGCTTCAACCGAGGCTGACTTCGAAGTAAGGGCCTTCCATCCTCTCGACCAAGTCATCGCTTGGCCACCCCTCCTCTTCTTCCATTCACACCCCCGGCGCGCAAACAACGCGCGTCGCGGGAGTCGGTGGGCTGGCATGCGTAACACGTAGCCTAGCCATCCCAGCCAGGTGCGTGAAATAATGGTGCTGGATGGTTCGCTTCTTCTTCCTGCGCCATAAACAAAGCGTCGAACACGCCCATTACTCACGCGGTGTTCCCACCAGATATGAGCCAAATTTCGAAGGTACAGATGGTCGTACGTAACTATCCACTTTATGTCGGCTGATCTAATTGGCCAGGTTTCACAGCCGTACAGTAGGGTCGAACATACAGCTACATTGTATACTCAACCCTTCATGGAGTGATGTCGCACCAGTGCCATAGGTGGCGAAGGTTAGCAAAAACGCCTCATGCTTTCGCTATACGGTCTGTTCCCTCGTCTTTAATTTCAACGGGGCGGCTACAACTACCTAGTTAGTTGAATTTTTAGACAACCTCTAGCTGATCCCCACCAAGAGTCAACGCAATAGGCGGTCCCTGCCCATCTCATTCGCTTATGCTTGCTGCGCCGTTGTGATTTATTAATCTCGACAGTCAAAGTGATGTGACTTTGGACAGCATCTTAATAACCGTGAGGTAGCTATGTACACATTGTGTGAGCTCGTGTTATTTGTTTGGTGCCGGTGACGCTCGGGAATGTTTCTCACTATTTACTCGCTAATGGTATCATCCGAAACTTCGGGAACGTTTTGACCGACTAACCTTCCTAGTGGAGTTCTGGGGGACCGGTATCGATGCCATCTCCATGCTGACAGCCGTTCCTTATGACAGTCGGTCTTCGTCGTTCTCTTTATTATTGCTTTTTCCTCGGTACAAATATACCGTCTAATTCTAATCAACTTGTTTCATGAACGCATGTTTGGCTGGTGATTCATAGTTTACTTGAATGCAACTCCGACCAAATTATTCTTCGTGTGAACACCGGCCAATCGTTTGGAGAGTTGGAGCTGTTCACATGTAGTGACAATCCATACATCGATTCCTCACACTTATTGGTCTACCACTATCGTTACTCAGGCACGACATTTTCTAGTGACTGTTGACGAACCAGCGAGTCTTTGTCTGGGATCTTGATGCTCAACAATCTTTGTTTGCTTGCACGCATTACAGTGAGTTGTCGAGCACATGGTTAGATTATTCCAGAAACCGCGACCACCAACTAAGATACCAAGGTTCCTGATTGGGACGATGTGGTTATTCATGACACTTCATCGTGGTTGTCCTACCAGCGTATTGCTGGTGTTCCACGCCTACCGAGGGTATGCCTTTAAACGTTTGCGCAGCTTGTAATGCGGGACAACCCTTCTCCTATGACTTGTCAGTTGGCTGCATTAGATGAAACTACTGCTTTTCATGGTATCGGATACAGTCTTCACCGAAGACGGAAGCTGCACAATGTCGGATTCTATCAATCTATACCGCACTGTTTCCTTGCAGAAATACCGCTTTACGAGCGCCTATGGTGGAGCCGACAGACGGCGGGACTCGACGTACCGGTTGCTTCGCCGGCAGCCGAATTCCTCTCTGTTGTTATTCGTCGGCTCCTTGATTTTGTTTCCTAATCTTTTGTTTTACTTGACGCAACCTTTTAGTGCACACGGAAGCTTACGCACACCACGGTGGTTCTCACTTTTAATATTACTGTTTTGTAGCTTGCAGATAACATGTCATCTCTCGTGGATACCTCGCTAACATACCTGGTACGAGCAGCCACGGAATTTGTACACTGCGCTGCCTCCGACCAACCGGAATCGCAGACATTGACGAGGCATTTCTCTGACGAGTTCAATATTATGGACCGACTACGCGCCGTCCGTTGTTGGGCTGCCCACTTGCCTCAGTCCGATACCGACCGCGCTGATTCTGCTATGCTTCTGACGGACGTAATCGCAAACTTAACTAATCTCGCGGACTCCATCCTTCTTTTAATTTACAAAGACAACAACATGTCCCCTCATTGGCAAACGCTATCGCTCTCCACACAGGCTGACACATTGTTGATGTTCTCAATTTTACTCCAGTCACTGTCTAACGCGTTCAGTGCTCTTCGGTCTCTGAACCGGGTCCCATCAGTACATGATATTCGACGGATTCTCACTGCTCTGCTCTGCTGTGGCAGGGGCAGTTTGTTGCTGTGCTCTGGAACTGAGCACCCACTCTATGCGAATCACGCGGTCCATCTGTGGCGCTTAAATAGCCACACCAGTTTCGCATTGTTTGCAACCTTGATCGCGTTTCAAAATGCCTGCTCTTGTCCCGAAGAAAGTGACTTCACCTTTCTCTATACCAGTTTGATGCTTTCAGCGGACGTATTCACCTCTTTATGCGACGTCGCCACAGATCACACTGTCTGTGAGGATACCTTACTACAGGCCAGAAAGTTTCACTATCAACTTCTGTTAAGCCAGTTGGCAAAATTGCTCTATAAATTTCATCCAACTATCTCACCTACTTATCCTACTGTTTCTGCCTCAGTTACGCGCATATGCGCTGTCACCGGGATTGCATTGTTCTTTCAACACGGTGCGGACGAAGATGGCCCATCAAGTTCTTCTCCTCTGGGAAATGCTCGTGCAGTGTTTAGAACCGTTCGCCCCTGTTTACTGTTCTGGCGCCATTTCGTGACGCCATTGTCATATACCGAAAGAAGTCACACTATACACACTATGGTATCGTTGTTGGAAACGGAGTACGACACGTGGTTTGTTGAATTGTCTAAACATTTTAGAGGATCTCCTCACGAGCCCTCTATGCTGTGTACTCAGGTAAGTCCGATACCATTGATCATCTGACTTACATGGTCGTCTGCCTTTATGTGAGTTGCATCATTATTTTCATTATTGACAACTTTCTACCCTGAGTGCAGCATATTAAACCTGTGAATTACATTTGAAATTCTGCTTGCTTCTGAGACCGGTTTCAGACGTAACCCGTATTATTGACAGCTTCACATAACAGTCTTCCTCGATGCATGTTTTCTGGTTTCTTACAAGCCACTACGTCCCTTTTCCTGTTTTTTTCGCATCGTTTTCCCACCCATGTCTGGAGTATCTTAAATTTGCGTCTGATCCTATGTTAAGATGATTCCAAGCATCGATTTAATATCCTCACTCTTATCGCTGCCTCCCTAACTCGGTTGATTTGTCGGCGTGTTCACTTAGCCCACGTTGGTCTCTTCACGTTTCCCATTTTTCAACATTCTCCCTTGCTGTTTCCTCGCCTCTCGACCAGTTTCTTTGCACGGCCCTTTGTTGTTGTTCCACAAGGCTAATGCCTCGGTATCCATGTGTGTACTTCCACTTAAGTCTGGCGCGTCTGATTGCGGTACCATTTTTCCTGTTGTATCTTCTTGCACCGGTTGAAGATAGTTCATGATTTTAAAAGTGCACGAAGCAGTTGCTAGTCGCCACTGTCTTTTTCCATCATGTTTTGCTCCTGAACCGACGCGGACTATCGCGTATCTTGTACACTGGTTTTGAAGTTTTACTTGTAAACTGTTACTTACCCTAAAAGTGATTCATTTGACTTCCCTCCTCTTTCTGCAGTGCATTTCGGAGTACGTTCTATACCGTGGATTGGTGCATATTTTATCCGATGTTGTATTTTCTACCGACCGATCCGACACGGTGACCGCTGATAATCCATGTAGTGCATCTCTCACACAGTCCAAAATGTCAAACGGCAATGGAACGAATTTTGATGGCGCTGTTGCTCGACAGATTACTTTTCACATAGACCCCGCAGTAGCTTCTCAGTTATGGGAGATATTGTGCAACATTCTTGTTTTGTTGGGTTTAGTCGAGGGCCACATGGATTCAACCACAATGCCGGTGGAACCTTCTAGCAGGACGGCATTCGGCGAGCCATGTACTGTCATTCCCTCACGGATGTGTAAAAATGAGGTAAGATTTGTCATTCTGGACATCCATTGAGTAGCGCAGATTCGTCTACTTATTAGGCTTGGCGTATTATCTCTTCTCTACCCCCCCTTCACTTTTCATCCAGAATGTCTGCTCTCTATTCGATTGTTCCCTCACTGATATGCGGTTCAGTAACCAGCTCCGCTTGCGTGTTGGACGATTGGAATTGCACCCGCTTTTCACTTTATCTGTGCGGAATATAATCACAACTATTCAAGTACTTTCACTTTACCGTATTACATTTGACTTAACGTACCACCGGTCTTGTTTCAGTATCATTACTGTCCTTTTGGGTGTTCTTTTAACCTTTTGCTGTATGACAATCCATATGAAACTATCGCACTCGTATGCGTGAACAGGTCTTATTCTTGGTTATACATGCGTGGGTTTATATCCGTGAACCAACCACGTGGAACAAACAATAAGCACGAAACGAGTAGGTATGGGGAACGTTGACACGAATCGAAAATTCGAATTCTCTACCCTTCTCTATCTGTTACAACCAGCGTTTTAAAGTTGCTGAACATTCGGATAGTGATATCCCTTAGTAGCGGACCACTTACGGTCTGCTCGACCGAGTTTTTCCGTCATACTTTGCCCTCGTCGGGATTCTTCATTGGCACTCATGGTTTTGCTTCAACTGCGATTAGCGTCCTCCGGTTGGTTCTCCTTGAATTTCTCCGTGGAACTTAAAATACCATTCACTTTCATTTCGGATTCTTTCTACCCTAAATACTCGTGTTATCTCCGCTTGATTTCGCAGATCTAACAATCGCTTTCTGCTCCACAATTAGTCCTCATCTTGGCTTCCGCTTATTCATAACGCCAAAACAATCACTTTGCCTATTTTGAGGTTGTTGGAACTCGAGCGAATTCACTCACATGTGTTATATGTGACGTTAGATTCCATATTTCAGGCATTGAACTATCGATTGTGCACTTTCGGCGTTTTCATAAAATCCAACATGATTTCGTTCAAATTTTGTGTTAGCATTGCAGAAACCAGGTACAGCCGAAGAAAGAAGAACAGAATCACAAACCGCCTTGTAGGCTGAATCGTTTCGTTGCGAATAGCACCATGTGTTTGGCGGAGCAAGCTAGCCCGAAGCGCCTCCCGGTTTCCGATCAGGTTTCCCATTCGTCCCGTGCAAACTTAACGGCCCCAAGTTTCGCGCTTGCATGCAGCCCAGTTTCATTTAACACGAATATTTTATGTGTTGTATCTTACGGGCACAGATGTCCCAGTGTGTGAAAGCTTGTGTACTGAAGACCCATAGAAAGTATAAGGAAGGAAAAGGCAAAAACATGAAGAGAGTTTAACCGCTGCAAGTCAACGGCACGGCACACCACATGAAGCTCGGGAAAAGCATCGCCTTGCAAGATCAACTTCGGTCGACCAGAGACAGTCTACCCTCTTGATCTTCCACACACCTGAGTCCAGTGATCCAACTTCCCAGATACGCTAAAGTCATCACGTCGTTTTTACATAGCCTATTTGCTACTTCTTGAGGAGAATGAAGACGTTTGAAAGTTATCGACAAAATCAGCCAATGAGAATCACCTTTGTGGTCGAAGCCAGTCTGAGGCTGATCTTGTCCTGCTTAACTAGGTTGAAAAGTTTGAATATCCGTTTCCGTCCCAACCGGAATCTGGTGGCTCGAGATTGGCTCATGTCTGCCATCATTGAGGTTAAGAGACAAAATGGTAAATCGAAAACAAATCTCCGTACCGTAGCTTTGCGGGTCGTTTCCAAGATTCTAGAATAAACAAGTTGCTCACATTTCAAGAACGTCCGGCTATTCCTGCTGCGGCTTGCATGTAGCTTTTACCAACGTTCGCAGTCTTATGAACAAGCCTGATGGACTTTGTGATTTCGTTGCCTCTGGACGGCCAGACATGGTGGAACTCGCAGAGACTTGGCTGAATTCTGAAGTGATTGCTCTAGAAATCGAACTCAGCGGCTACTCATGCTTGTGCTGCGATGGACTATCGACCACCCGCAGTGGTCTCTTGCTTTGCATCAGAGGTTCTGTTTGTGAGTCTTGTAAGCGTTTACAGATGCTATGATGGCCTGTGTGAGCAGCTGTGATGCTCGATCCACCTCAGGCGCGGCGGGCCGCTCGTGGGTACAGTTTAGCACAATGTTAGAATCGTTGCGGTGCGAACAAGTTGTGTATTGGAGAACGAACGTATACATGGTATAACATTTCTAACATAGAACAGTCGGGCTCATTTGCGCACATCATTCGTGATGCTATTTGATTCCACGCTGCGCCTTGTGTTATCAACTCTACTTGCCGTGACAGTACGGTATAGGTTCAAAGCTCCAGCGTCATCCATTTTCGGGGCTAGTTGAATTATGCACTATGCACCCATCGTCCGCGGTGATGCATTATTCGCTGAGTTCATCGCGCCTGCTGGTTTCACCATGGTACTCATTAGTAGTGCACCACATCTTTCCCCAGAGCTGTTGCTTGAATTGGCTACCGCATCTCCGACGCCACATGAGTCGTCTCCATTTTCTACTCATGAGTGTTTGCAATTGTTCCCGAGTACGCTGGCCTGAAGTCCAGCTCGTGCACGAATGTTGCGAGGATGAAACAAAGTTCCTGAACTCGGTGCTTGCATATGGGGCAGCGCGACATATATCAACCGACACGTATCAAATGGAACTCAGCTCCGTCCTGCCTAGACTTGGTTAACAAGCTGTGAACAGATATTGGAGCCCTTAGCAGCAAGCACCCACTTGGTGCTCGTAACCAGCATGGATTTACTTTTATGGTATTCTTGTCCCCAGCTACTGGAAAACTGCCTTCGACAGTTTAACTCGAGCCACAAGCGCAATGGATCCGTCTCTGTGTAGAAGATTTGGACTGCTATAAAGACTGCATTGACATTACTGTGTTTCCGGTTTGTACCACTGGAGTGTCAGAAAGTTGGTCCAGTCAAGCCACATTGGCTTGGCAAGGAGAATGGTACAGTGGCTTGGCGCAAATTTTCGTACAAATTCCTTTTCTCCTGCTCTTCCTATGACTACGAGGCGTATAAGAGGCAGCGAAACTTTGCAAAATCGAGCAAGCGCAGACGTTTCGAAGAGCAGCTCGCAACTGCCTCAGTGGCCGCCCCGAAAAGAAGCCAACAGGTGATCTACTGGTGATAGATGACTCGGGCGGACAGCCCTTACTTTCACCACTGAGTGTGCATTCGCGTCGGCATTGCACTTCGCTCCCGTGTTCTCAAATGTCCACGTGTCTGTACCGATCTCGACCTGTACTCTTCTTTCCGTCTTCCACAGTCTGGTTTGGAGCGCGTCAAGTACCCGTCAATCTTGACGGCACCAAATCCTAGTCCTGGTGGGTTGTACCCACTGATTCTTAAGGCCCTATTGACCATTTTCTCACTTACCGTGACTGACTTGTTCAACGGGTCATGGTCCGAGGGTTCATCGCTGATCGATTAGAAGTTCTTGGTGGTTAGGCCGATTCCGATAGTCGGTGACCCAGACAAAATTGCTTGACACCTCTTTTTGCAACCTTTACCGAGGAAATGGTGCAATAGAGTCTACAACAGCTGCTCTAAACAGATCTCTTTATACCCGCGCAGCACGGTTTTGTGCTGCGTCACTTATGCATTACCAGCGTGCTGGTATGAATGGTTGGCATGAATGATTTCAGGCAGTGAACTGGGGGAAGTCTGTCGACGTAATGTACATCGATTTCAGTAAATCATTCGATACGGTACATTGTGAGGTCTTTCTCCACATGCTGCGAGTTTGCGGTGTTGGTGGATCACTGCACCAGTGAATCCAGGACTCTCTTGTCTTACGAAAGTAGTGGGTACGGGTCGACGGTTATCTAATTGGCTGACATCTCTCTATTAGTGGCGTACCCCAAGGTACGTTGCTGGGGCTCACTGTTCCAATTCCACATCAACGGTCTGCCTCAATTTCTTCGGTTGCCTTGTGCCCTGTTTGCAGACCACCTGAAGATATGGAAATTTATTGACATTCGAGACAACTGCGTTCTACTTCATCGAGACTTCAACCCACTCTTCTTCTTGTCTGCAAAAGCCCGCCTCCCGGTCAACCCAATCAAGTCGGTATTCATGAGCCTGGGGAAAAGTAGTGATGGGTCAATCGCTACATCCCGTCTTTCGTGGAGGTCCTAGGTGTACTCGCACGCTGTGGTTTGAATTCCGTGGACTACACTAACTGGCTATGTCGTAACGCACTGCGCATGCCTTTCTCTCTCAAACGCAGCTTCTGCACTTTTTCTGAATCAGTTGCCACCTGACTCTTCTGTTCTATCATAAAACTGAAGTACGACTCTTTCGCCTGCTATCTACTCACCCGAAGTTATGCAGAGAAGATCGAACGGGTCCAACATGTCGCTACCAGGCTCATTACAAGTTTATGAGGCTTACCCTACGAAGAACGATGTGAGAAATTAGGACTACACGTCCTATCGTCGGGTGCGAGTTGATCTCATCATGACCTGCACCATATTACATTTCAGTGACTTCCCCATGTTAAGGCCGCTGCTTCACTTACGAACGCTATGCGTCCCACACGGACATCGGGACAAGCTCGTGGTGCCAAATATAAAGCGAGTTCCCCACCCTGTGCTTCGAGCGAAGTGTTGTAAATTTTGCGAACAGTCTGCCGGAACAACTAAAGGCCAAATCAGTGCAGCAGTTGAAGACTGTTGGATTTACATTTCACCGCCATTCGGTTCGGAGATCGGTTGAACACTGGCGATGATATCTTACATTTGTGAGCTCAATGAAACTGTTATTCCGACATTTTTAAATGCTACATAATAAATTGAAAAACTCGAAGAATCTCAGCTGGTAGCTAATACGTTTTATGATATTTCTATTTATATTCCGATGGAGTTGTACGTAGTTAAATTCCTACTTGCCTCCTTAATACGGTATCCAGTATTCTTTTTCCGCATCTTGACACTGATGCCACAATCGCAGAT